TCTTTCTCTTCACCTTGTGAAGCAGCGATCACTTCGTTCATGGTCATTTCAGCCACTGCGACGTCCCTCTCATTCACTACAACCTCTTGCGTTGTTAATGTTGCTTTCCAAAACGCACATATCTCGCTACAAGACCGGCAAAGCTTCGTTTTTCACCCTGTAGTTCTGCTACTCGTCCCCATGCATCATTTCTTCCTAACATGCACATTGTTTAATAATAATAATAAAAAAAAAAAAGACTTCTGAATGAACCAATCCGAAGGATGGGACTCAATTTATCACTTCCAGGGGTTCTTTTCTTTGGAGCTACAGCCTTAGTTTAAGCCCAAGGAGCGTTTGCGATGACGAATACAATTTATTACGCCAGACGAAACCAAGTGAATGCTAAGGTTATCTAAATTAGGCTTATTCTTCAACAATGTTAAAGTTGTTTTTTCCATGAATTAAGCCAATTACCGTATTTACTCGCGTAATGAACATACTTTTTTTATTAAAAAATCTGAGCAAAGTTGGGGGGTGCATTTATTACGTGGGGTGAATTGTATGAAAACTTTTTTGGGAGGAGCAAAAAATGCGGTAATGCAAAAAAAAAGTTAGGTCCTCAGCCTTCGCAATTGACATACGCGTACACTGGTTCGAAACAGCTTCTTTGTTGCACTTTCGTCATCTTCGGTGGTTGACGGCACTATCTTCTGCAAGCTGTTCCCGGGCCACCCGCGCACGCCATAAAAGCGTTTTGCAGCTATCTTTTCTCGCAATCGTTTAAGCGCAACAGTGGTATTTGCTGTGATCTCGAGGGGTGCCCAAAAGCGTGTGCTACGATGCTACAACCCACTTAGCAACTTGGCAGCAACCTCGCACGACGACCATGACAACGCCGTTAACAATGTAGCAAGTAACCAGCATTGCAGCAAGCTACCCCCGAAGCATCAAAACAAACGGTCAATAACAAAATTAACAACAAAATATGGCTGCCGCCTCGCTTCTACATGAGAAGTTCTTCTACGCATGGACAACAAGCGAAACGAGAATTGGGGGTGCTACCAAGTTGCGTAAATTGTCACGATCTCTTCTGGACAAGCTATTTTTATCTATTTTTCCAGAAACCTGCGATGCAATAATGACTAATGACCTTTTGCGACAGCAACTCCTGTTGTCGTCGCTCAAAAATCACATGCACATGGTTGGACTTCATATTCGCAGGAGGTGACAGTCGATCGGTTGGTGCGGGCAGTTACGTTACCTCTGCTCGCTGTGTGCTTACCAGCCGACTTGCACCGTTCGTAAACCCCGCTGTGGCGCACAGAGAAGACAGGAGACATACAGAGCACAGATAGAAAGAAAAACAAAACGGAACACGGCAACGGCAGAGGGTGAGAGGGGAAGCGAGCCAAGGTGACCGAGGGGGGTTGGCAAAATAACAAAAAATGGAAACGATCGAACGGGTGAGGAGGTGCCAGGTATTGGTTAGCGGTACTGCAGCAGATGAATGTAGGGGGTGCGTTTATAACGTGGGGGAGCAAAAAATCCAAATTTTGATTACTGAAGCTGAAGGTGTGTTTATTATGTGAGTGCATTCGCTACACGAGTAAATGCGGTACTTGTTACAAAAACGATCTTTTGCAAAACATTTCAAGATTATAACAAATTTCTTTATGTAACAAGGCACTACCAATTTAATACACGATCCCAGGAGGTGGGTTGCGCTAGTTTATTAAGGGTCAACAAACCCATCAAAGTCTTAGCTCGATCCTACCGTGTTCGCATAGCGCTGCTGGGAAGCTAGTTGCATTTACGGTAATATCCTACTTGAGTCAGTTCGCCCCTTAACTGATAGTCCTGTCAACCCAGAAAAGCACTAATTGACCTCGCATTGCATTTCCCGAAACTGCGAAGAGTAGACAGTGAGATAATTATTAAGGTCCATTAAAGCATTCGATCAGCCATGAGCTGATTAACTTTTTCTCACCAGCCCTATGGCAGCAAGAACATCACGTAATATCACTGCATCTGCAGAGGTGGTGTCCGAGATCAATTCAAGCATTCAGCAGCAGAACGACAGACGAAAAAGGAACCAAACACCCTTTACAACATCTCACAACTGTTCTCCACTTATTTTGCTACCCAATAAAGCAGAGACGAGTTGAGAAACTGTACCATGTCATTTCTGCAGGACATAACGTGTACCTTTCTGTGCAATCGACTCTGCAGCAGTTCATGATTTTAATTAACTACTAGCTGGCGGGCGTTGGAAGAGCGTTTGGTTCTGCTCGAGCTCTAAATGTCTGCTCTGACGGCCGCAGGGCGGCGCGCCGGTCACCATGCATGGAGTGTGGAAGACTGTTTACCAATGTCAGCAGCTACGCACTAGCAGTGGAAGAAACAACTTGACGGCGTAAACAAAACAAACCCATGAACGACTGCAGATGTCTCAGGCTGATAAAAAACATCGTCGCCATAAAACCTGAAGCTGAGGTGCTGTCATCCTCAGCCTCTGAGCTTATCCTCATTCAATTCAGGTGTGGTTAAGACAGCTTCAATCAGCGCAAGTTCTTTTGCAGCACAGGTGCGCACCCATGTGCCCGTAATGACGACACCATAAAGCGACACTAGATGGGTCCGTGCATTTGATATAACGATACAAACGAAACTAAAGTTGCTGGAAACTGGCTGAGAAGGCCACCTCCATAATTTATGCATGCAGCAGACCTATGGAATTACCTTTTTGTAGAATAAATTTTCCCTACCTCCTAATAACATCTCTCTACTGAATAGCTGGCATAAACTTCTGGTAATTATTACTGCTGAGCACCACTAGATTGCGAAGCTGACCTCTTAATTTGATAGTTGACTTGCAAAGGTTTTTTTTTTTTTTATTTTACCTTATCACAGAACTCTGATGTTGCAGTAGCACAACCATGAAGGGCACCCACTTCTGTCAAGTTCATCAGCCAAGTGTATTTTCCCAACAACTAATCCACATTGGTTCACACCAAGGTCTGTCAAAAATAACTATGCTGCCAAATCAAGCAAATTCAAGTTGATTTTGAAAGTTGAGTGGCTGGACTAACTACTAGAAAATGCTGCGTGCACGAGAAGCAAATTCAACATGCTAAAATCAACGATCTAAAGCACTGATCACCTGTGATAGATTTGAATAGGTGTGGTAACGAAAGAGTCAAGCAACAGCCCGAATGCACCTCCGCCCGCTGCCAGGACTGCAAGCGCATCGTAGAGTGCACATACAGGTTACTCGCTGCATCTGTGCACTGTCTGAAGCGGAGTGGGGTTACGTCAAAGCAAGCTGATCAGCAGTCACTGCGTGCACCGTAACTAGCCAGCAGTCGACTGGCTCTCTAGATTGTATCATCGCAAGTAAAAAAAAACTGCTAAATTTCGCTTTGAAGCAAACTGCGGAACAAATGTATCGTGGAAAGCCAATTATGACCATTCTGTCGCCATACCACGCTGCGCTTCCTGCATTTCTGACTTTGCAGTAGTTACAAAATTAACTTGGCGTTGCACCGCGTCGTATAGGATAGTTGTGTGAGATTGATTGATATGTGGGGTTTAGCGTCCCAAAACACCCATATGATCATGAGAGACGCCATAGTGGAGGGCTCTGGAAATTTCGACCACCTGGGATTCTTTAACGTGCACGCAAATCTGAGCACACGGGCCTACGACATTTCTGCCTGAGCACACGGGCCTGAGCACACGGGCCTACAACAAATGCAGCTGCCGCAGCCAGGCTTCGATCCCGTGACCTGCGGGTCAGCAGCCGAGTACCTTAGCCACTAGATCACCGCGGCGGGGCAGTTGTGCGAGAGTGACAGAATTTTTCCTGCGCTTTGGCAGAAAGAAATGGCTTTGTGGTGGGCACTTCAGGCAATATTTGCTGTGGCACTGTACTATCGGCATCAAATGAAATGCAAACAGCGGAGAGCGTGGAAGCCTTATCAATGGCATAGTGGGTGTCGTCCACCAGTCATTGACACAGACAGGCCCGCACATCCGGTGTGGCAGCACTGCACGATCCCTCTATAGTGCAATATTTCTGCTTGTGTTCCAAGTATGGTATTTGAAAGGAACAAAATTTTTAAAAAAATACAGAGGTTAAGCTACTGCAGCCGCAGGCGAGTATTGTAGCACGGTTCGTCATCACGGAATGCCTGGCGAATTCTATTTATAGTAGAAAAAGGTCAGTTCATAATGCTGGCAATTTTACGCTGCTTCACTTCGTGCCGATAAAGCGAAACAATTTGCACGCTCTCTTCCGAAGAAACACTTAGGATTTCCAGTTAAAATGTAGCCTCTTCGGGTCTTTCTCTAAAAGAAGGGTGTAGGTGAAGCAGCGCTGGCGAACGAGATACGGCAATTGTTTGAAAATAAACCGCAAACCGATTATAGTTCTCTTTTTGTTTAACGTCCCAAGACACCGACTGCACTGCGACGCTGCAGTAAAAGCAAGGAATTGCGAGTGATACGATCAAAAGTGCTCGGCACGCCCACGATTTCCACCATTGTCACCATATGAAAACTAGAGCAGAAACGAAGATAATGCACTCTAGGTGGATCGCGCAGTGCTCCCAAACCGGATGTGCACGCCTTTCAATGATGATGGCTGGACGACCCACACAATACTGTTTCTAATGCTTGAAACATGCGCTCCGCTGTTCGTCTTTCATTTGACGCCCATAGTATTTATTCCATTGTTGGCCATGATGAAGCATGTCAGGAGATGCTAATTTTTAGCTGGTGCTTAATGAGTGGTACGTTTAATGCATAGTTAATGACATGTTCCCATCAGGTACATATTGACGAGGTTTCGCGGCATTCAATTTGCACTGAAGCTTTTATATTTAAGTTCGCTTCGCCCCTAAATTTTGCCATTTGCACAACCAATACTCAGCATAGTTGGAAGGTGCAATAAGGCAAAATTTTACTGTAAAAGAACACGCTGATACCATGCACTGATAAGTACACCCACTGCATCTTACCAGATTGGTTGGAGGGGCTCTCATCAGCGGCTGAAGAAGGAGGAGCAGTGCCCCCAGGCTGATCCACAATACGATCCAAGGGTGGTGGAAGATCACTCATCACTGGTGTGGAAATGTTATTGATGGTGATAGACCCGGTTTCAAGCTCCATGAACACTACTGGGCTTTGAGCTGTCAGAAGTGCAGGGCCCGTGGTGTTGAAGGGACCAGCTGTAGATGTGCTGCTAGACGTTGGTGCCTGGAAGTAGAAAATAAAGTGAGAGTTTGATGAGACCAATGCAATGCAAGAATGAAGGATGTAGTCAACGTGAAAAAATAAAAATGCTTTATCATCATCATAGCTCATAATTTGTCTCAAAGTACAACTTGGAGACCACAGATTTCTGGACTGTGTAGCGATGACAATGCAAAGTTAATGTTTTGAATCCTTCATCAGCATACAGGAATACCTCGTAAACTTGAAGTTGTCAAAGTCAGGGAAAATTTTGAGATAAATGAATTTTCAAGATTAGCAAAGTTGTGCTAATCGTCGGGAAAAATGAGCACTTTTCGAAAAATGACTACTAATTACCAGCTCTGCAACGGCAGTTTCTGATCTTTCTTCTTGCGCAGGTTTAAAAGAAAAAAATAACATACAAGATACTTTAATCCACTGGGTATTGCCGCACTGCAATTTTATTTCGCAAAAAAAATAAAAAAGCCAAATGCTCGTCTGCTTTGCAGTCGTACTTGCGCCTAGGAAGGCGTCGTCCAGCTGCTTGACGCATCTCATCAGTGGATCTTCCCCACCACTGCACTCGACCTTATTTCGAAGCCTTACTATCAATGCCAATTCCACTTCTGGGAAGTTCGACCCTCAAACCCGCTTCCGCTGGCTGGAGAAGTTTTGCTGAAATCCACCCAGCGCCTTCTGCTTGTTTCTCAGCATCGTCGAGAGCATAGACAAAGGAATGAATTCCTGTGTGATGCTAGATTTTGTTCGGCCTCCTTTCTATACTTCCTTAATTAGGACAAATTTTTAATTTTTTTCCAAGTGTTAGCGACTTGGACTGTTTTGACGCTATGCTTGCCGCATTTATGCTAAGTTGCCGCTCCTCACAGTCAGCAAAAGATCCGTACAGCTCAATTTGCGCAGATGAACAGGAATCACACCTCAGGGAAATTCACGAGCACTGCACTCACAGTCTGTGAAAAATCCATATTGTGTGGTTTGCGCAGATGAACGGAAATCACACCTCAGGGAAAATCATGCGCACTGCACAAAGTGAACGAGACAAACTACACCAAGCGTGGGCAGAGGGCTTCCCTGCTCAGCGCATGTGTCACATGACATGCCACAAGGTTGCATGACAAAGCTGATACGTCGCTGGGCTGAGACTTTGCGCACTTCGCGTTTGGGGAAAGCATTGACGTAGTGGCAGGAATGGCTAAATAGGAAAAAAAAATGAACGGACTTTAGGGTCGGCAGCATCGCGCAAATCTGGCGAAATGATCCGGCGGCGAAATTTTCGTTCGCCTTCTAGTCAAGATTTCGAGTTATCCTCAATCCGACCTAAAGATACTTCGAGACAAAGCAAAAAATATACATGGGATATATAGGAAAATGTTCGGTGCCACTGAAAATTTAGACTTAGCCATTTTTAGAGATATGCGAGTACGAATTAACGAGGTATTACTGCACCAGTAAACATAGCAGAATGCAGATTCATGACCCTTGTTATCTTCAATGGGCTTACAGTAGACTTTTGTTAAGGGGGCACACGGGTCTTTGGGGCCGAAAATTGCCCAAAAACGCATTTTTTTTTTCGATGTCATTTTTGAAATCTACAGGTATTTTTCTATTAGTTTGCTCAGTTTTTCCTCCGAAAAGTTGGTACTTGAACAGTAACAGCTATTTATAAAAGCCGTACGGGCCCGATTTGGCGAGATTCTGATGCCAAAATGGCAATTTTTCAATAATTCCCCGCGGCTGCGCCACGGGCAGTATCGCAGTGATCTAGGTCTCATTTGAAAGCGCGGTCTTCGATCTTCAATTTCCCGCCACTCTGGCTCATGTCCGCTCATTGGTAGAGTAGAAAACACGCGCCAAAAAAGCAAAAATACGCGTTCCTATTCGCCGGCGAGCGCACGTGACTAAACAGCGCAACGCGATTGGCCGCAAGCGGCGTGTCGTTTGCTTTGCGCCGGCGGCGGCGCAGTCAGGCGCCATATTGCTCGGACTGAGAACGACGGATTAGCCAAGGATCGCGCGCGATGTGGAAAGCCGGAAGGAAATTCCACACAAGGAATCAGTACGGCAAAAAAAGAAAGAAGTCGCTCCTCGAGAACTTCAAAGGCCGTTCCGCGTCAGCGAGGAGTGCTGAACGAGCAAGCGACCCACCTTCCGTGGCCATCGGCGAGGCCCCTGATAACATAGGCCTAGCACCTCCGCCGCCGCCCGCTCAAGATAACGCATCCGGCAGCGGCCGCGTTCGTCTTGACACAGCAGTGCTGCACCCGTTAGAAGTGGCAGAGGTGCGTCGCAACGCCGGAAACAAGCTGCAAGAGCTCGCTTCAACTGGAGCAACACAACGCAAGTGCGGCCTGTTAGCCGATATCGACGATGCCGCAGCCACGCCGCTGGATGAAACACTGTTTTTGATCGTGAGTTTGGACCAGGTGAATGAACTGATGCGTGCAGTGAAGTGCAAACTGTGCTCCGGTGATGTAAACATCGGCAAAGAGGACAGGGAGTACGGCCTTGCCGTAAAGCTAGTGCTTACGTGCGCGACCTGCGGCGATGTATCGGTGGCATGGAGCTCGCCGCGCGTTGACGGCGAGAGCAAGGCAAAGCCGTTTGCCATCAATGTTTTGGGCGCGCGCGCTATGCAGTTTACTGGCAATCAGCAAACGGCATTCAACGACATTTTTTCATCGATGAACATTTCTTCGCGCAGCCTGCACAACAAAACGTGGCAGAGCTACGTGAAGACGAAACTGACGCCCGCAGCTGTTCGTGCGTCGGAAAAGCTGACCGCGGAGTGCGCGCGATCGGTTCGGGAACTGTACGCGGAACTGGACTTCGGCAACCAGGGCAACATCGCTGTGTCGTACGACGGTTCCTGGATGACGAGGGGACACTCGTCGCACATCGGAGTCGGCACAGTTATCGAGTTGTTTACGGGGCTTGTGCTCGATTATGTCGTGCTCTGCAATTTTTGTGCCGGCTGCGAGCGGGCGCCTAAAGAAAGTGACCCGTCCTACGACGAGTGGAAAGCGAACCACCACTGCCAAAAAAACAGCACAAAAAAAGCTGGAGAGATGGAAGTGGAAGCTGCCCTCATTCTGTTTCAGAGGTCGTGGGAGCGTCATAAGCTGAGATACACTACAGTTCTTTCTGATGGCGACTGCCGCACCTACCCTGCTTTGAAGGAAGCAGATGTGTATGGTTTTATAAAGGTAACCAAAGAGGAATGTGTGAACCACGTCCAGAAGAGGATGGGCACGCAACTGCGCAATCTCCCCAAGCAGAGGCCAGCTGGCTCTGAGAGCCTCAGTGGTAGGGGGCGGCTGGCTGGTGACCTGGTTAACAAATTGACCTCTTACTATGGCTGGGCCATCAAATCTCACAAAGGGGACGTGCCAGCCATGCACAATGCTGTGATGGCCACATACCACCATGTGACGTCCAACGATGCCGTGTCCAACCACAGCCTGTGCCCTACAGGTCCTGACTCGTGGTGCCGCCAGAACGCTGCCAAGGCCAGGGGTGAGCCGGCCCCCAAACACCGCTACAACCTGCTGCCGCATGTCTGTAAGGCCTTGCTTCCAGTGTACGAACGCTTGGCAGACAAGAAGCTGCTGGAGTGCTGCCAGCGAGGCAAGACTCAGAACAGTAATAAAAGTCTTCACTCTGATTTGGTCGCTGGCCCCGAAGGAGCGCCATGCATCACTGCACAGTGTAGAAGCTGCGGTCGCCGAGGCAGTGATGAGGTTTAATGCCGGAAGTCAAGTAACATCATCCAAGATCCTCAAAGAGCTGTGCTAGAACCCCGGCCTACTGAGTAGCAAACGCATGGCTGAAAAAGACCGCCGCCGAACCAGGGACTCTACCCTCAGGCGTGCGTCTGCACTAAATGTGCAGCGGACGCTCACGAAGCGGCACCTGGTTGCCAGCAGTCAAGGGGCCTACTAGTCATTTCGCTCCAAAAATGTACAGAATGTTTTACCGTTTACATTAAACATGGCACCGTTGTGTTTTTTGCCATTTTCTCAAAATGCATATTTTTGACGTTTAGGAAATTCTTGAGAGGTACATCTCGGCATGCGGTGCAGCTAGAAAGATAATTTCTTTTGCATTGTCAAGCTGAATGTTTAAACCTTGAAGTAAGGGAAACAGATTTTGCATTTCACGTTTAAATAATTGTTTAAATAACTGGTTAGCAGGCATACTTTAAACAGAGAAATTAGAATTGATGTAAACTTGCATGTGTGATTGCCAGACAAAAAAACTGCTTCCGTCATTTCATTCTCCACAACTTCTAGTATCTATTCATGCCATGCTGGTAATTTTTTGTTGACTAGTTTTTTTTTCTATTGTTCTCAAGAACAATCACGAGATATTTTAATTATCTCGGGAACTAATTAGCTTACACCAAAACTAATTGGATATTTGAAATCAAAAACTGAACAAGCCCGTGGAGTTTCATTAAAATTGGTTGGAAAGCAAAAAAAAAAAGTTTCTAAGACCAGTGTGCCCCCTTAAATGAAACACGAAGGGACCAGCAAATTATGTTCAGTCTAACAAGAGTTCCATTTACTGAGAGATAAACAGAGGGGCAGAATCCAAGTATGAAACATTCATATTATAAGCAGCTGTTACATTTATGCAGGAGTTCTGTCAATTCAATTTACGAATGCCTGCTGTGTTTCAAAAAGTTCAAATGCCTTATGGTTAGGTATGTGCAAATATTAAAAACCAAATAGCTTTCTATTTCATTCTCTGTTCAAATCAAACAGTAGATATTCAAAATTCCAAATATTTTTGAATAGCTTTCGAATAATTGGCCCCGATGGGAAAACCCTAAAACCACACAACTTTGAACCAACTAAATGTTTTCTGGTCCGAACTACTGGTCTTCACCACTAGCTCACTGTGGCAGGTAAGCTTTTCACTATTCCAAACAATGCGTCATATTGACGGTACATATTGACGAGGTTTCACTGTATTCGATTCGCACCGGAGCTTCTATATTCAAGTTCGCTTTGCCCCTAAAATTTTGCCATTGGCACAACCAATACTCTGCATATTTGGAAGCTGCAATAAGGCAAGAATTTACTGTAAAAGAACACACCGATATTATGCACTGATAAGTACACCCACTGCATCTTACCAGATTGGTTGGAGGAGCTCTCACCAGCTATTGAAGAAGAAGAGAGAGGAATAGTGTCCTCGGGCTGATCAAAAATACGATCCAAGGGTGGTGGAAGATCATTGATCACTGCTGTGGAAATGTTATCGATGGTGATAGACCCTGTTCCAAGCTTGTTGACATGACCAAACACGTCTGGTCATGTCAACAACCAAAAGAACCCGTCTGTCTGCTCACAGTTACATGCGCACGCTGCTCTTCCTCTTCGAAAAGTTAGGAGAAGCCAGTGGCCAAGAGGAGAGCAGAGCTGACCAACGAAGTGTAGCGAAGCAAATAGCAAAATGAATGTGGGCCATTTTCTGAAACAAGTGTAACTTTGCTATTACGGCACTGTTTCAAAGAATTATCGAGGCTACGTGTTTGTTGAAAAACGAACACCACAACTAAATTTAAACCTCTGGGATGTTTATTGGCCCTATAAAGAAAAGGTAAGAAAATGCAATTACTTACCGCTTGTGTAGCTGTGGATGTAGCACTTGTAGCAGTGGAGCCAGAAGATACTCTTGTAGCAGGAACCGATTCAGTTGTGGAAGATGGTGCTGCACCAACATTTATATGGCTCTGAAAACAAAAGAAGTTAAGAATCCTATACTTCCAAGTTTTCACAGGCCAAAATATAAACACATTGGGGCTTTAAAGGCTCTGACCACCTTAAGCACTGTACATTGATATTGTCTATGTAACGGCCCTTGAATACACACGCAATCGAGGCATGTCGAGAAAGAGTATTAAAGGGCCCCTAAACCACCCAGCAATCGAAATTTAGTTAAGGTGAGGAAGTTGTGCTCGAGTTTACAACGAACATGTAGCCGTGAGACTTTTTTGAAACGGTGCAGTAATAGCGAAGTTACACGCGTTTGATGATCGAAACACAACGATTGCTTCTTTCCCTCTTTCCTATGCTACCCTCTTCCAAAACTGTTCGGCCCCTCCTCACTAAGTCCGCTGAGTGCCCCCCCCTCATCTCGCGTGGCATACGTCACCGCTGACGCGCTGTTCGAGACACCGTCTACTTCCGGTTGCCACAATCCGCCACTCCGACGACCCATTGATTGATTTGATTGATTTGTGGGGTTTAACGTCCGAAAACCACCATTTGATTATGAGAGACGCCGTAGTGGAGGGCTCCAGAAATTTTGACCACCTGGGGTTCTTTAACGTGCACCCAAATCTGAGTACACGGGCCTACAACATTTACGCCTGAGCACACGGGCCTGAGCACACGGGCCTACAACAAATGCAGCCGCCACAGCCGGGATTTGATCCCGCGACTTGCGGGTCAGCAGCCGAGTACCTTAGCCACTAGACCATCGTGGCGGGGCGACTCTCCGACGACCCAGCTCACCGTCAACTGTGTTATGTGTATCATCTGGGTGCACTGATCGTTGACTAACTCATTGTTGAAATTGCGGCGCGTCGGCTACCTGTAGCGCTGCGGTTTGTAGCATCGTTGATGGCAACGGCACTCTGCACGCGATGTGCTTGTTTACTTGAAATGTTTCGGAAAATATTGGAGGGGTTTAGGGGCCCTTTAAAACCAAGAATACTGCTTTACAGAAGGAGAGTAACTGCCAGTTGTGCCAGATTTACAAGTTTCTCATTTTATGAAGATGAAACTATTCTTGTCCCTCCCGTTTTTTATTCATCAATATAGGATCAACATAGGAGGCACTTCAGCTTTATATCAAAAACATATATAACAATCACACACGAAAATATCGTAAGCATTAAACTACACCCCTTTTTTTCTCTTTCCTGGGACAGTACCAAAGTGGAAGGAGTGTTATGATGTTGGTAGACATAAAATTTCATTTACGTATAAATGAGGTGATGGGGTTGTTGCCAAGACAAGATAATTTGTTGTAAAATGCATATCGTCACATGATTAGAGGACGTATAACATACAGGGTGTTTTATGCAGCTAGAACTTTATATTTATATAATATATAAACCATATATATTATATATGATTTATAAGGTAATATATAAAACCAGAAATATTGTAGAATAACAAGACTTGCCATTTGAAAAGAACTGCTTATTCGCCTTCAATTTAGGTTTAAAGGCGATTTTTATTTGGACCACCACATGGTGCAAATCGCATCTCAATATAGACAAAAATGACGATTTTGCAAAATTTGTGAATTTTTCTCAAAATTTAATAGCTTGAAAGGTTCAAAATTATTTTTTTCCTCAAAATATACCTGCTGTGATTTAAGTACTCACTCCTCAGATATTCATACAAAGTGCAATATTGCAAAACAAAAATGCAAACATAACATATTTTGGGTAAGCTCTTGGAGGCATATATGCCAGTAAAATAGCACTAATACTACTGAGTTTCAAATACTTTACACAAGAACCTTTATTTAACAAGTAGACAAAATTTCGTATAGAAAGAAGGAGTGGTACTTTTAAAGTAAATTTTTTCCACAAACAACACCCAAATGACAGATATCTGACCAAAAACTTTTTGTCCGAAATATTGTAGCAGTTCACTGTTTTCAATGCAGTAAATCACCACGATTTTTTTGATGATTGATTGATATGTGGGGTTTAACGTCCCAAAACCACTATATGATTATGAGAGACGCCGTAGTGGAGGGCTCCAGAAATTTAGACCACCTGGGGTTCTTTAACGTGCACCCAAATCTGAGTACACGGGCCTACAACATTTCCGCCTCCATCAGAAATGCAGCCGCCGCAGCCGGGATTCGAACCCGCGCCCTGCGGGTCAGCAGCCGAGTACCTTAGCCACTAGACCACCGCGACGGGGCGCGTTTTTTTTTTTTTGAAATATATTTGAGATAGTTGCCAAATGGCTGGGACGTTTGGCGTAGAATGACCGTATTTAGAGTAAAACGTTGAAATTGTGAATAGTTTCGCCATCCAAAACTTCAGAAGTTGTCATACATTGGCTGTATAGGGCTTGTGGCAGTTCTATAATAGCATCCAAGTTTTCAAACATGTCTGAAAAATCAGCAGTGTTGTCATCATCAATACTGATGTCTGTTGGCATATCCGCTTTGATACACCGTATTTACTCGAATGTAACGCAACCACTATTGTAATGCGAGAAGAGTTTTCAGTGCCGAAAAAAGAAAACATGCAACGAGAGTAAGCGGGAGGAGAGGGGACCTTTATTTGGTGCACATGGTAGTGGTAAAGACATCCCAGTTTCTTAGTACAAAGTGAGTTTTGTTCATTCATTGCTTTCATCACCATCATCACCGATAATTGAGCCCTCTGTGCCACTTTCTTCCTCCCAGATGAGGTCATCCTCAGTGCCATCGATATAGTTCCATATTCAGCCCTTTTTAAATGCCTGAACTATTATGTCGTGCAGCAGGCCGTGCTAAGTGGCGGACACCCACTCGACAATCTTCGCAGCGCCAGGACACCTGTAGGTGTCAAAGCCCGGTCTTGCCGCATCCATTCTCTGTACAGTTGCGGCATTCTACCCTTAAATGGTTTGTTCAGGCAGATGTCTAATGGCTGCCACAGGAACGTAATATTTCCGAGAATAACAGCCAGCTGCATCTGAGTTTCCTGCATCAGCTTCTTCACTTCGGGCGTCAGGTGACCGCGAAATGAGTCGAGAACTAGGATGGAGGCGGGGTGGACGAGCACACCTGGCTGTGGGCACCTTACAGTCTTGACCAAGTCGAGCATAAGCAGAGTGTCTATCCTACCTTTAGATGCGAAGCAGCTCTTTGACTAGCCTGTGCAATGTTGTCCCTCCGCACAGGGACGGTGCCAAGTAGGCCCCAGTTTCCCTCGCAGTGTGCATGCATGACGTCACTCTTTCCCTAGCCTGTCGTCGCTCGCCGCATGTCATCTCTCTCTCTTCACCCTCTCCCCGCTCGCAACACTTGAGCCCACTCCTCACATTAGCAGCATCTCCTCAACCTTGCCACCTCACTCCATCTGTCGGCGAAAAGAAACCGCGGGTAGGCGCGCTGCGTGCGTTCGCGTGCCATCGTCTAGCCCGGTCATGGTACCGTGGCACCACAGTGTGGACAGCGTGCTGCTGCTTGCTACGACATCACGCCGACAGACGGGAAGCCACCAGGGCATGCTTCCCGCTAGTGTGCACATACCTTTCCTAGCCATAATATGGAAAGACGTGCTAGTTTTGTTGCATACTAAAGCTTTAGCGCACACACATGGGGACGAATACGATAGAGACACGGGGACTAGTGCAGTCCCTGTGTCTTTGTTGTATTTGTCCTCGTGTGTGTGCGCTAAAGCTTCAGTATGCTTTTCGGACGTCACCGGTGTTGCGGGTTAGTGAAGCCGATCGCGTTCGAGAATGGTGATGTCGCACCTAGACCATCCATCGATGAGGCGCAAGCCAGGGAAGCCGAACGCAAGCGTTGGCAGTAGAAGACCAACGACACTGACGAGGTGAGAGTCAAGAACGCCGATCGTGTTCGAGAATAGAGACTGCGCGCAGGTAACACTGACAAGACGCGAGCCAAGGAAGTGAAGCACAAGCATCTTCAACGCATCCCTCCTCTCGTGTCTTTGCATTTAAAACAAATGTTCACACCAGTAAACACCGAGTTTCCCTTCAAACTGTTCTTCCAGCACCCATGTCGACGCCCGCTTCAACCGGGTCAGCGTTGTGCGCACCGCTGCTTCTTCACATTAATCAGGGCTCTTTTCAGGGAGATGGTCCATAGTTTCTTCTTGGCCGAGGACAATCATATCCCTGGGGAACAGCTCCTTCGGGATGGTTTTGCGCCGCAAAATGATGTATGGCGGCAACTTGAGCTCATCCACCAAGCAGGCTAGCATCACGGTTGGCCTCGTCTTCTCGTTGTCTAGTGTCCTTAAGCGAACTTGGGGGGCACCTGTTTCGATAATAGTCCTTGACATAGGCATGCACAAGAAAATGAGAGCCTGGTCCGTGTTACCAATGTGCCCCAACGGCATTTGGGACAAGCTACACAGGTTGAGCCCATAGCGCTGAAACTCCTCTAGCTTCGCTCCGCAATCTGAAGGTAGTTTCTGCCTTAACAGCATTGTTCACTGGAGGAAAAATCCATTTCTTCACATGAACATTTGTCACCATCCACATGAAGCCTTAAAGTTCTCCCGCGGGATCCCTATCTGTCAAGCTAAGTCTCGGTCTTTCCACTGAATCAGCTCAACATTGACCCCCCCAATAGGCGATTTCGCTGCTCAATCGAAAATTCCACCACTTTTTTGTTTTTCGAGTTCTGTGTGAGGGCTACAACAAGGTCTACAGAAGCCTTTTCGGCCGGGCTCACTCTTGAATAGCGCTTCACGCTGGCGCCTCCACCTACGAATATATTCCGCCACATTTAGCAGTCTAGCCGCGGCTGAGTTCCCGATTTCCTCAGCCATCAGCATTGCACTTCTCTTAAAGCGGGCATCGTACTGAACTCATCGCGCTGCCATTTGCTGGAGCCGAAGACACAGAAGCACAAAGGAAATGAACTGCCCGCAAAACACGTCAAGAACAATCGGATCGGATTGAATTTAAGGGGGCACACGGGTCTTCGGGGCCGAAAAATTGCCCAAAAACGCATTTT